TCATTTCAGAGTGTACATAGCAGGGTACAAAAATCAGCTAAAGATGAAATGTAGCTTAAAAAAATAACATAAATCTACAAGGTTTTTCATATGTTTGTTCTTAGTTTTAGAAAGATAGTGTTCCTTATAGAGAAAAAAATAATTATTTAAGATGTAATGATCTCCTCAATTTCACATCAGAGAGCCATATTGTTTCATTACACACAAAAAAAATCTACATACCAAAGTTATTAGTTACCAAAAGAACATGTGCAAAATAGTCTTTTTTATTTAAAAATTCTGTCTACCCAAACCTCAATTTATACATAGGGACTGAGAAAAATCTAGAACAATGCTCAAAAAATTTTATGGCTGTTATTTATCTTGGGATGCATTTTTAGTGTCATTTTTTTTCTTTTACCTTCTTTGTACTTTTCTGTACTATGTGCATTTATTTTTATATAATTCATATTTATCATTTATACCAAAATAATCATAGCACAATTCAGTGAAAACAAAATAATCCATCCCAAAAAACTGCACAATAAAATGATATGCAATAAAAGAAAAATCATTTGAAAGCTTTATGAGAAGGAAAAATTACATTTAAAATAGTAACAAGAGACATGAAAGATCTAGGAATAAATTTAATGAGAAATGTTCAAAATCTACATGAGAAAGACACAGAGACTGAAACAAATGGAATGACACATCACATTCTGGGACAAGAAGACAGAACATCATAAAGATGTCAATTCTTCTTAGATTATTATAAATTTTATGTGCTAACAACATTCCAAAGAAAAAATAAGCAAGTTTACTCTAATATTCATATGTAAAAATTAACAGGGAATAATGGCCAGAAAAGTTCTGAAAAAGAGTAGTAACTAAGAATAGGCCAATCTTCATCATCCCTACTCTGCTTAGCCTAGGAGACCAACTTCTTTACAGACTAGATTATACTGCTTCTTGTTCTCTGGCTCTCACTGAGTTTCAGCAGTTGGAGGCACTAGCTGGTGATTCCAGAGTAAAAAAGAGAAAGAGGTCAAGATACTTATTTACCTGGCTCACTCTCTGATGAGCTACAGTTTGATAGTGCCTGTGTTCCTCTGTCTAAGATTACTGCTCTTATTGGGCAGCCTCTGTCACAGAATACATATTCTTGTCCCTTCTGGCTAAGGGTGGTAATGGTTTCCTGTTGTTGATCATCCATGATCAGTATTATTCTGAATCTAACATCTATTCAGAGAGAACTGGCATCTTTATCATAGTGAATCTTCCAAACCCTGAACGTTGTTATTTCCCTGCACACAAATAGACCTTTTATTTTTCTCAACGTTTGTAGAATTCTGTAAATAGAGGTAATACACATTTTTCATTATATTTGCTCTTCATACTTCCAGTAATACTGTAAATTAAATTCTTTTTAAGTTAATTTCCTAAAATGTTTTGCTGGTATACAAAAAGCAATTAAGTTTTATACACTGATCATGTATCCACCAAGCATGATAAACTTATTGATTAATGTAAACTATATATAAATTATTTTGCATTCTCTATGTGAATTAATGATGTTTTAGCAAATACTTAGGATTTCTTCTTTCATTTCTAGTTCTTATATCTTTTTATTCTTTCGTTACTACATATTTGTTATTTCTGACTATGTGCTAGACCTTATTTTGTAAAACTTTAGATATAAATTAAGTCCAGATTGTTTTATCATTCTCCAAAGGAAACTCATTTGTTTCTGCTAAGTACCTGGGAAAACCAGCAATCCAGATTTCAGGATTTTTGTCTGAAGATTCTCCAAACCAAAATTATGATTGCACTGTTTTGACTCAATTTCTAACAAAAATTCTCACCCTTAATTGTAGAGCCATTACCTATTCAGGAAAAGTTTTGGGTAGGCAATTTAATTGGTTATCCCTTTTTATGCAATGGCTAAGTAAATATATTAACATGCTCTATATAGATTACAGACATGTACATCATTATTTATGCATAGAGTTGGACTTCCATATCTGTGGTTTCTACTTCCACATATTCAAACAACAGTAGATCAAAAACAGTAATTCAAAATATATAACAAAACAATACAAACAAAAAATACAGTATCACAACTATTTATATTGTATGATATATTTAATAAAAGTAATCTAAAGATGATTTAAAGTATACAGGAGAATATGCATAGATTATGTGCAAATACTGCCATATATAAGGGGCTTCGGCATCTGTAAACTTTGGTGGCTACATTGAGGCCTGAAACCAATCCTCCACATATACCAAGGAATGACTGTATACACTTATTTATACTGTAACCTGGGCAAAAATCATTTGAAGTAGAGTTCACAAAAATATCCTTTAGCACAATGGGTAACATGGATCAAATATTCAATAAAATATAAATGACTATGAACTCCAAAGAAGAAAATCCATAAAGAAACAGTAGCTCCATCAGTGAGGAAAAGTGTACCCAAATAAGAAAGTGCTTAGACTACTTTTTCCACAATTATGGCTTTGTATGTCTTGACTACAACATAAGGATTCAATAAACTGGGACTGGTATATCATAACCACCCTCTCCCAAGGAAATAATGATGAAAGACAGAAGACACATAGTGCATCCAACCATAACTCAGGAGAAACATTGTAGACATCTCGACTACTACCCTATAATGAAGATTTAAGACAAAGTCCGCTGCACCAAACAACCAACTCTATGCTATTATCCTTCTATGTGAGTCCTTCTTTTCAAAATTTCTACTTTTATTTTAGATTCAGGGGGGTACATGTGCAGTTCTGTTACATGGCTATATTGCTTGATGCTGCGGTTTGAGTGATTCCTGTCACCCAGGTGGTGAATATAGTACCCAATAGGTAAGTTTTCCACCCTTGGACCCTCACTCCCTTCATTGTCTAGTAGCCACAGTGTCTACTGCTCTATGTTTATGTCAATGGGTGCTCAATGTATAGCTCCTACTTATAAGTGAGAACATGAAGTATTTGGTGTTTTGTTCCTGCATTCACATAGGCCGTATGTCTCTATGAGTCCTTTTAATCAGACTCTTAGAATTACACATGGCTCATTAGCTAGTATTCTTTTACTATTGTATAAGAAAAAGTGCATCTGTGAATATTACTGCTTTATTTATAACTTACAGCTCTTGCAATACACTAAATTTAAATAAACAAACTCACACAAAACATAGAAGAAAACATAGTTGTTATATCCCATGTCCTTAACACTGCACTGTATCCTAGAATGGACACTATATTTGTTCTAATAGCCTAGCACCATCATATTCTAAACTGGAAAGGTCTTTGTTGAAATATTTTATGTAGTTCTAGATGTTATATTTTTAGAAGATTGACAATATGGAAAACAGTCAGAAAGGTAACCCAAAACATGATAACATCTGTGAAACATGTACATAAAGAGCTTATGTAAGAAATAGGAGTCGTTGATCAATTAGTAAAAAAAAAAAGTTGTCATTGATAACTGCCTTGACCACTGAGCTATGTTATATAATAGGAATTAGATTGTTTCTAAGAATCTCCAGATAATAAATCTACAATAAATAGGTGGGAATTGTAAAAAGGCAAATTTCAACTAAGTACATGTAAAACAATGTTCAAAAATTTAAACAACATAAAATGAAAATAGCAGTCTTGAAAAGCATGAGAAACTTTTAAACTAAAAATTTCAAGAAAAGACTAAATGCTATACTACCTTATTGGGACAAAGAAAAGAATAACTAACAATTTTTAAATTTCACCCAAATCTAAGATTCTATTCCTCTTTAAATTATTTTCTGACTTCCTTATTGCTTTAAAAATAATTACACCATAAGTTGATATGTCAACCAGTATACCATCTATAAAGCTTATACTTTTCCTGACCCTTATGATGAGAAAGTCTTTAAAATCTGATACAAGGAATCTGTTAACATTCTAACTCACTTCAATTTTATTGGCTTCAGTAATAGTAAACAGTGTCTCATCTGAACAAAATTCACAATGCTATATTTAAATTTATAAAACTGTATTTTACCCAATGGAACTATAAAAAGTACATGATATATAGCACTAACTTGACCCCCTTACCAATGCCCACTAACATGAAAGAAAATCACAGACAAGTTTTACCAAAGAAGAACTCCATCCAATGTGTACCAGAATGGCAATAACTTACCTATCATTTATTTATTACTTGTTTTTAAATTACAGTAAATCATACAATGAAATTCTATTATATACTTCTAGAAGCATACCTTCAATTCCATGCTGTGGTGCTACCAAAATAAATAAACACATACATACAGATATCCATGCATATCCATTCATGTGTGTGGATAGACAGATAGTTAGACAGATGAGATAGATAGAGAGATAGAGATAGAGATAGATAGAGATAGAGAGAGAGAGAGAGAGAGAGAGAGAGACACTAATCTATGAACCAAGGAAAAGTTATTTTCTCTTATACTACTTTCTGAAAAAAGTAATTATAAAGCAAATTAATAGTTTCCACATCTTTAAAAACACTTAGAAACACAAGTGTATCTGCTTACTTTCTTAAGTAATCCAATTTTATGAATAGTATTAAAAAATCAATTATATTGATACAGAAAGACTGCATCACAAACTGAAACTATATAGAACATAATAAAATTAAAACTCAAAATTGTGTTTCTCAGTTATTATTGTTCTCTGTAGCAATATGAATACCATATAACACATACCTAGAAATGTCAGAAGAAAACAATGAATGAAAGCATTGCAATGTCCTTGTTAAAACCTGAACTAGGGTACCCCTTGACCATGCTCATCCAATCCTGTTGACCCACTCATTCTCCCAGGTAATTTTTCCATTCAGTGTAAATAACCCCAGATTCTCAATGCACAAACATATATAACCACAGAAAACACAGTTTCATTTTAAGGTGTTAATAATAAGTATAAATGCTGTCATTCTGAATGACTAATGACATTTCTATAATGTTAAGTTAAAAACAACATACTTGCCTGACCAGGGTAATATCCATATCCTTCTGGATAAGTTCAGTCTGTTTATTATTCAACTGTAATGATAGAGTATTATATTTACTCTGTAATACTTCAATTTCTTTCCTTGCTTCAATTAAGTTGTCTTCAAAGGCCTAAAATTAGAGTGCTTATATCAATAATCAAACATAAAACTAAATATAACATCTGTTATATTTAATTATTCTACAAAATGACAGAGAAAAACTATTTTAATTTTTTCACTTAGTTAAAATACTTTTAATACAAACACTAACTTATACCAGTAACAGATTTTTGAAGCAAATAAATTTGAAGATATGCATAACAAATTTAGTTATTAAATTGTGAAAGAATTTTAAAATTTGATGTTTTATTTTAAAGAATATATTATAAAATTAATTTATAATAAATATGAGAGTGGAAATTTGAAAAGGAGAAGGGATAAAAAAACAACTGACAATCATTAAAGTAAAAGGTTATTTTCTGAAAAGAATGTCCAAATTAGCAAACCTTAGCTAGACTACTAAAGGGAAAAAAAAAGGATACAAATAACTAAAATCTGAAATGACATGAAAATACTACTATTAACTGTAAAGAAATAAAAAGGATTATTAGATAACAAAAGAATTATTAGACATATTACAATGAATCCATCTGATCCTGGGCTTTTCTTTGTTTGGAGACTTTTTGTTACTGACTCAATCTTACTAATTATTACTTGTCTGTTCAGGTTTGCATGATGCTAAACATTTAATCAATTATTAGATAGAGTAAATATTAGTAAGAAAGCTGCCATTTTATCACTTTTTCTCTCTATATATAACAGCATTTTTGTCTTTCATTCCTCTATTATTGCTTTTCTTAGTTGATTTTTTTAATGTTTATTTTTTTTTTTATTTTTATTTTTTAGACAGAGTCTCACTCTGTCACCCAGGTTAGAGTGCAGTGGCACAATCTAGGCTCACTGCAACCTCTGCCTCCCAAGTTTAAGCAGTTCTCCACCTCAGCCTCCTAAGTAGCTGGGATTACAGGCATATGCCACCATGCCCTCCTAATTTTTTGTATTTTTAGTAGAGACGGGGTTTCACCATCTTAGCCATGCTGGTCTTGAACTCCTGACCTTGTGATCCACCCTCCTTGGCCTCCTGAAGTGCTGGGATTACAGGCGTGAGCCATCACACCCAGCCCTCTTAGTTGATTTTTTTTTTTACCGATACCTTTTTATTCATTTGTTTCATATAAATATAAATTATATTTATAGAATAAATTATTAAATATATTTATAAATTATAAATAATTTCCCATCAAAATTAAATAATTTAGATGAAATGGAAAAATTGCTAGAAACCCCTGGATTACCTAAACTGACTCAAGAAGAAAAGTCTTAACAAATATAACAAATGAAGAGACTAAATCAGTTATCAAAACCTTCCAACAAAGAAAAATTCAGGAACAGGCAGATTCAGTGGTAAATTCTACCCAGCATCTGAGAATACCAATCCCTCTAAAACTGTAATAACACCTAGAAGAGGATGTAATACGTCCTAACTCATTCTGTAAAGACAGCATAATCCTGATACCAAAGAAAGAGTAAATTAAAGATATTTCAGTAATGTAAGGTTGGTTTAACACCAAAAAATCAGTTAATAGAATACACCACACCAGTATAATGAAAGACAAAGACAAGGCTGGGTGCAGTGGCTCATGACAGTAATTCCAGCAGTTTGGGAGGTCAAGGCAGGTAAATTGCTTTGACTCAGGAGTTTGAGACCAGCCAAAGTTACATGGCAAAACCCTGTCTTTACAAATAACTAGCAGGGCATGGTGGCTGACGCCTGTAGTCCCAGTTGCTTGAAGGGCTGAAGCTGGAGGACTGCTTGAACCTGGGAAGCAGAGGGTGCAGTGAGCCAAGTCATGCCACCACACTCTAGCCTGGGTGGCAGAGTGAGACCCTGTCTCAAAAAAAAAAAAAAAAGGAAAGAAAGAAGAGAAAAGCCACATGATCATTTCAACAGATGCAAAAAAAAAAAAAAAAAAAAAAGGTAAAAGAACTTGCCAAAGTACAACAGTCCCTTCATAATGAAAAACACCTGATGGGAGGAGGTGGAGCAAGATGGCTAAATAGAAGCCTCAAGCAATCATCCTTCATGCACAAACACCATGTTGAACAACTATCCACAACACAAAAAGCACCTTTTTAAGAACCAAAACTCAGGTGAGCAATCAGAGTACCTGGTTTTAACATCATATTAAAGAAAGAGGCATTGAAGAAGGACAGTCAATCTCAAGACACCCACACAACCCCTCCCCCGTACCCCAGCAGTAGCTGCACAGTGCAAAGACAGAAATTGTGTTCTTGGGAGAGGTAGACCATAGGAACTGAGGGACTTTGTTCTGCAAATCAGTGCTACTCTGTCATAGTAGAAAGCAACATGGGGCAGAACTCAGCTGGCACCATGGAGGGAGCATTTAGATCAGCCCTAGCCAGAAGGAAGTCTCCCAACCAAGCAGTTGGAACCTGATTTCAGGTAAGCCCTGCCACAATGAAATAAAGTGATCTGAGGTCCTAAATAAACTTTAAAGGCAATCTAGGCCACATGGACTGTAATTCCCAGGCTGTCTTAGTGGTATGCTAGACTCAGAGCTGGTGGATGTAGAGTGCATGTGACCCAGTAAAAACACTACCCAGGGCAGCAAAGGGAGTGCTTGTATCACCCCTTATTCCAAGCCAAGGCAGTGCAGCACACAGCTCCAGGGCAGACTCCTACCTTCTGCTAGAGAAGAGAAGAGAATAAAGAGGACTTAGTCTCATAACTTAGACACCAGCTGAGCCAAAGTACAATAAAGCAGGAGGGAGTGCCCTGAAGCACCCATTACAGGACCTAACTCCTGAACAACATTTCTAACCACACCCTGGACCAGAAAAAAAAAACATACTCCTCTGAGGGAAATAATTGGTTCCAACTGGATTCATCTCTTGCTGACTAAAGAGCCCTTGGGTGATGGACATGAGGAGAGACTTCTCGGCTTAAGGAAAGGAGAGAGAAAAGTGGGAAGGGCTTGGTATTGAGGCTTGGCTGCCAGCTCAACCACAGTGGAACAGAACATCAGGTAGTTTACTACTTTTCCCGACTCCAGACCCTGACTCCCAGATGGCTTCTCTATAAATGGCCAGGGCAACCTTACCATATTGGAAGGACACAGGTCTGTCTGGCTGGCTGAACAAACTGCTGATTGTGGAGTCCCTAGTCCCTTGAGTAAACACAGACAATAACCACACAGTTAGATCCATAGGCCCTGGGTGAGAATCAGTGCTACAGTAGCTTCAAATATGACCCAGCTCATTCCCAGTGTTGGTGGTCACAGGGGTGCTTGTGTCACTCATTCCCTAAGTCCAGGCAGCTCATCACAGAGAAAGATTCCATTTGGAATCTTTGGGAGAAAGTAAGGGAAGAGAGCAAGAGTCTCTGCCCAGTAATTCAGGAAATTCTCCCAGATCTCACATAAGACCACCAAGGCAGCACTTCTATTAGTCTACAAGAGGCACACTGTTACTGGGCTTATGGTGCTCTCTAATGCAGATAAGGCTACAATGACCAAAGACATAGATCACAACACCCAAGTTCCTTCAAATATCAGGAAAGCCTTCCCCAGAAAGATGAGTACAAACAATCCCAGACTGCAAAGAATGCAATGGATACCTAACTCTTTGATGCCTGGATACCAACGAATATCCACAAGCATCAAAACTATCCAGGAAAACATGACCTCATCAAATGAACTAAATAAATAACCAAGGAAAAATCATGGAGACACAAATATGTGATCTTTCAGACAGGTAATTCAAAATAGCTGCTTTGAAGAAGTTCAGTTAAAGTCAAGATAACACAGATAAGGAATTCAGAATTCTATCAGAGATATTTAACAAAGATATTTAAGTTGTTAAAAAGAATAAAGCAAAAATTCTGGAAACGAAAAATGTAACTGACATACTGAAGAACGCATCAGTTTCTTAAAAGCAGAACTGATCAAGCAGAAGAACTAGTTAGACTGAAGACAGGTTATTTAAAAATACAGAAACAAAAGAAAAAGGAGTAAAAGGAATGAAGCACACACACAAGATTGAGGAAATAAACTGAAATGGGTAAATTTAATAGTTACTCGCCTTAAAGAGGAGGTAGAGGCAGAAGTCAGGCTAGAAAATTTATTCAAAGAGATAGTATCTGAAAACTCCCCAAACCTAGAGAAAGATATCAATATCCAAGAACAAAAAGGTTATACAACATGAAGTAGATGTAACCCAAAGAAAAACTACTTCAAGTCACTTAATAATCAAAATCCCAATGGTCAAAGACAAAGAAAGAATACAAAAAGCAGCTAAAAAAAAAAAAAAAAACACAAACACACACACATGCAAATAACATACAATAGACTCTCTGATACATCTGGCAGCAGATTGCACAGTGGGAACTTTACAGGTCAGGAGAGAGTGTCATGACATATTTAAAGTGCTAAAAGGGGAAAAAAATAACTTTTAACATAGAATAGTATATGCAGCAAAAGTATCCTTCAAAGAAAGACTTTCCCAGACAATCAAAAGCTGAGGGATTTCATCAACACCAAATCTGTCCTACAAGAAAGGCTAAAAAAAAAAATTCTTCAATTTGAAAAAAAAAATGACATTAATAAGCAATAAGAAGTCATACAAAGGAACACAGCTCACTGGTAATATCAAGTACACAGACAAATACAGAGTATTATGAAACTGTAATTGCAGAGTAAACTACTCATATCTTGAGTAAGAAGACTTAAACTATCAAAAATAACTGTGACAACTTTCAAGACATATACAGTACAATAAAATATTAATAAAAAGAACAAAAAGTTATAAAACAGGATGAAGATTAGAGTTTATCCTAGTTTCTCTTTGAGTGTTTGTTAATTTGTTTAAATATGCAATCAGTGTTAAGATGTAATCATTTAAAAATAATGGGTGATAAAATAATATTGGCAAGCCTCATGGTAACCTCAAATCAAGATACATACAATAGATACACAAAAAATAAAGAAGAAGAAATTAAATCACACCACCAGAGAAAAATCACCTTTACTAAAAGGGAACCAGAAAGAAGAA